AGTTGAAGTTGCTTCTTGTCTTAGTTAAAATCTAGAGCAATTATGGCTAGTTATTTGGGGCTCAATGTTTGCTAACGAGTGGAGAAAACAGAGAGTACTTCTCTTGTATTTATTCTATAAATATGTATGAGCTAGATGTTGTGTAAGAAAATAATTCAATTCTAATAGAAGAGTTGGATCAAAGTAACAATGTAACGCTCCTTCTTGTTTCACAAAACAAACCAAGACAGAAAGAGAGTGAAGAAGATGTGAAACAGAGAACTAGAGAGAGTAAAAATCCAACAATACGACTGCTGATGAATTTGCATACAAACAAAAAAATTACCAATTTGATATGGATAGATAATGTTTATTTTATTTTGTGTATATCATCAAGTTGCTCATTAAATTCATGTAGTTTACCAAATAATATTCTCCAAATCATCACTTTTCAGGTTTCTAGAGCAATGGCAACACAGAGCAACAAAGAGGTTTTCTTGGGTGGATTCATGAATCTTTTTAAACAACAATGGGAAGTTGATGTACTCCTCAAGGCCGGAGAGAGTCATGATGATGAGTGTGCATCACRACCTATCTCTGCACACAAATTTGTTCTGGTTTTTTTCACTCACTTCTTCTTCTGATTTATCATCATCGAATCCAGAAAACAACTCTAGTCTATGTTTTTGAAATGCTTTTTCATCATTGTTTAAATAGGCAGCAAGATCAGAGGTGTTTAAGAAGATGCTAGAATCAGACAAGCTCAAGGATTCGGTTAAGCTAGAGACGATCACTCTTTCTGATATGAAAGATGAAGAAGTTGAGGCTTTAGTTGAGTTCATGTATAGTGTTGATGGCTCTATTTCTAAGGATGTTCTCAAGAAACATGCTCAGTCTCTCTATTTCGCAGCGGACAAGTACGTGATTCCGCATCTACGGGACTTATGCAGAAGCCATCTAATATCATCTCTTAACTCGTCTAATGCTCTTAACATCCTTGAGCTCGCCCAAACCCCTTTTGACAAAGCCCTCAACGATGCGGCCTTTGCTACTATCAAAACCAAGATAAGCGCGATTGCTAACTCCGCTGAGTTCAAGGTTTTCGTAGTCAATCACCCAAATCTGGCTGTGGAGATAATGAAGGCTTCTATTACTCATCTAAGTTCCATTACTGAGCCGAGTTCTATTACTCAGTCTATTAACTACAGTTGTCATTATTGTGGTCGCTACTGCTAACTAGAATTGAAGAAGCACGGTGTACTTGTTCTTATTTCATTTCTGTTTTGAGAAACTATAACTCCGTTTTATCATTTTCAAGCGGGTTGACATAATAACAACGCAAGATATTACCATTTTGTCGAATTTAGTATCTATTTTTTACATTTACAACAATGGTTATGAGCTTCGGTTGGGAACATCGAGACAGTAACTGTCTCTGAGCTAAACCAAGAAGAGTTAGAGGCTTTCATTGAGTTCATCTACAACAATGGTTATGAGCTTTCTGAAAAAGAGAAGAAACATGTTCAATCGCTTTATGTTGCAGCGAACAAATATGAGATTCCACAACTAAAGGATCTATGCAGAAACGAGCTTATATCAGCTCTTAACTTGTCGAATGCTCTTAACGTCGTGGAGCTCTCTATGATTCCTTTTGACAAAGCTCTCCATGACTCTGCTACCATATTTATCATAAGAAATTTGAAGAGATTGAATTTTAGCTCTGTTGATCAGTTCAAGTTGTTCGTTCTGATGAGATAATGAAGGCTTCTTTAACGTCTAATTATGTAATGAAGGCTTTTTCCACTCTTATAACGCTAAAGAAGCCTTCATTATCTCAACGTACGTAAAACGACAAGCAGAAATAGTTGTACTTTCTCGACTTAGAAATCCACATAGGAACACAAAGAACAAACGCACGGAAATATAAGCGCGATTGCTAACTCCGCTGAGTTTAAGGTTTTCGTAGTGAATCACCCAAATCTTGCTGTGGAGATAATGAAGGCTTCTCTTACTCAGCCTAGTAACCAGGGGCGGAGGCAGACACAAATTTCATGGGGGGATATAAAATAGAGGCATAAGATTATGTTAAACAAAAGAAATAAATTAAATCTTAACAAATTATAAAGAAATTTCAAATTTCATAGGGCTCCGCCACTGCTAGTCACTACCGTTGTTGTCGTTGTGGTCGCTTCTTCTACTAGAAGAAGCACGGTGTAGTTGTTCTTATTTCAATTCTTTTGAGAAACTGTAACTCTGTTTCATAATTTTTCAATCGAGTTGACAAATAGCAACGCAAGATATTACCATTTTTCGAATTTAGTATCTATCTTTACATTATTCGTATGAGGTCTACATGATAGTGGTTTGCTACTCGTGGTTGGAAGACTAAGCGATTCGACGAATATACACGAAAACTAATGAAGCCAAATCTAAAGAATCATGAGACAGTTATATATATGTCAACACATTCTAGCTTGATTTTTGAGCTCATAGCATATGCAGAAGCCATCTACGTGACATATGCAGAAGCCATCTCATAGCATCTCTTAACTCGTCCAATGCTCTTAAGATCCTTGAGCTCGCCCAAATTCCTTTTGACGAAACCCTCCACAGTGCCGCCTTCACTACTATCAAAATCAATATAAGCGCGATTGCTAAATCTGCTGAGTTCAAGTTGTTTGTCGTCAATCACCCGGATCTTATAGGGGAGATGGTGAAGAGCAACTACTGTGGCACATGCAGTAAACAGTGCCCGAACTGTAAGAGGCAACTTAAATAAAACACCTTATTATCT